GGATACTCTTTGTCAAGTTGAGGATGTTCCCCTCTATTTCTAGTTGACTGGGTTTTTATAATTAATGAGTTTTAGATTTTGTCAGATGCTTTTTCCACATCTATTGATATGATCATGTAATATTTCTTCCTTAGCCTGTTGATATGATGGATGACATTGGTTTTTGAATGTTGGACTAGCCTTGCACACCTGGGATAAATCCCACTTGGTCATGTTCTATAATTCTTTTTATACATTGCTGGATTCAATATGCTAATATTTTGTTGTGCATTTTTGCATCTATGTTCAGGAGAGATATTGGTCTGTAGTTTTCTTGTAATGTCTTTATCTGGTTTTGGTATTAGGGTAATGCTGGCCTCACAGAATGAGTTAGGAAGTATTCCTTCTGCTTCTATCTTCTGAAAGAAATTGTAGAGAAATTACCCTTCTATCATTATGTAATACACCTCTTTATGCCTGATAACTTTCCTCCATCTGAAGTCTTCCCTGTCTAAAATTAATATAGCTACTCCTGCTTTGTTTTGGTTAGTGTTAGCATGGGATATTTTTCTCTATCCATTTACTTTCAATCTATATATATGTCTTTATATTTAAAGTGAGTTTCTTGTGGACAACATACAGTTGAGTTTTGTGTTTTGATCCACTCTGACAATCTGTCTTTTGATTGGTGCATTTAGACGTTCAAAATGATTACTGATCGAGTTGGATTAATATCTGCCATATTGGTTACTGTTTTTGTTGCCCTGGTACTTTGTTCCTATTTTTGTCTTCCACTCTTTTCTGGATTTAATTCCTATCTTTGCTCCTGTATAGGTAAAGTGTTTTTTTCCTCTGACTTCTTTCAGGATTTTTCTTCATCTTTGTCTTTAGTTTGAAAATGATATGCCTAGGTGTAGTTTTTTCTTTTAACATTTTTCCTGGCTGGTGTTCTCTGAGCTTCCTGGATCTATACTTTGATGTCTGAATTTGATGGAAATTCTGTCACTACTGTTTCAAACATTTCTTCTTTTCTTTCTTTCCTCTCCTTCTGGCATTGCCATTATGCATGTTACACCTTTTCAGTTGTCCCATAGTTCTTGGATAGTCTATTTTTTTCAGTCTTTTTTTGTTCATTTGCTTTTCAGTTTTGGCCATTCCTATTGAGATATCCTCAAGCTCAGAGATTCTTTCCCCAGACATTCCCAGTCTACTAGTAAGCGCATCAAAAGCAATCTTCATTTTTGTTAGTGGTTTTTTGTTTTTTTTTTTTTTGGCTGAGGAAGATTCGCCCTGAGCTAACATCTATGCCAATTTTCCTCTATTTTGTATGTGGGTCACTGCCACAGCATGGCTGACAAGTGGTGTATGTCTGCCCCCGGGATCTGCACCCTTGGACCCCAGGCCGCCGATGCAGAGCACACTGAACTTAACCACTAGGCCACGGGGATGGCCCCCTTGTTAGTGTTTTTGATCTGTCACATTTGTTTTTTTTTCTTAGAATTTCCATCTCTCTGCTTACATTACCCATCTGTTCTTGCATGCTGTTTACTTTTCCATCAGAACCCGTACCATCTGAGTCAGCTTTTTAAATTCCTGTTCTGATGATTCCAACATCCTTGCCATATCTGAGTCTGGTTCTGATGCTTGCTCTGTCTCTTCAAATTCTGTTTTCAGCCTTTTAGTATGTGTTGTAATTTTTTCTTAATAGTTGGACACATACTGGTAAAGAGAACTGTTGAAAATAGGCCTTTAGTAAGGTGATGGTAAACTGTGGGAAGAGGGGAAATATGCTATATAGTATTATGATTAGGTCTCAATCTTTTAGTGAGCCTTTGCCTCTGGACTATGAATTTCATACATTCTTCCCAGTTTCACTACCCCCATTTAGGTGGGCCAGGATGGCTAGAGTGGGCTAGAGTTGGGTATTTCCCTTCCCCCAGGTTTGTTAGGCTCTGATAAAACCCCAGCTGATTAGGCTCTGGTTAATTAGTTTCTTCAGATGGCAGACCTTGTTAAGAACAGAACGTTCTGATGTATTTCAAAATGGTTCCTCTCTCCCCCTCCTCACACACAAGAGTATCTTTTCTCTGATATTCACTGTGAGGAAAACTCAGAAAAGTGTGGGGCACCCAATGACTGGGTCCCTCTGGAGTTGTTATCTCTCTGATGTGTCCACACTGAGCCTCCAGCAATTCGTTAACTACAGTTTAGGTTTTCCGACCCCAGCACTGGAGTTCCTGGGGAGGATTCAGCTCCTGCGTTTCTATCATGCCAGAAGAGAAAACGGAAATTCCTCTGTCTGCTCATATTTCATTCATTTCTAGGGTCTTTGACTTCTTATTCCTTAATAAGAATCTAAAACTTGTATGTCTCAAATTATTTAAAATTAGGCACATTTAGATGTTTTAAATATTTTCTCTCAATCCCTCAAATCCCTCTAAATTTTGACTGTCATGAGCTTTATAAAACAGAAAGCTTTAAATTTAGACATAAATTTAGATATAATTATCTTCATCCACTTTTCACTATTTTGTGCACATTGGGATTAAAAAATACAACCAGAGGAGAGCAGAATCTGGGATTGTTTCCCAGGTCTCACTCCAAAACTGTTCTCTTTCCATTTCCTGTTCTATAATGCCTGTTGATTCTAAATTTCAGTTTTCTCAAATGAGCCACCTGGTTTGAGAATTACATGATAAAAAGACGACCTCAAACAAGAAGAAATTCTACCAGCAGATTGCCTTTGGTCTTGAACTGCAGCTCTTCCCTGGGTCTCCAGCCTGCTGGCATACACTGCAGATTTTGGATTTGGCAGGCTGTCATAATCACGTCAGCTAATTCCTTAAAAAACATCTCTCTATACATACACACACACACACACACACACACACACACACACACACACCCTGATGGTTCTGTTTCTCTGGAGAACCTAATACACCACAGAAATGAACACTTAAAAATGGTAAGATGGTAAATTTTATGTATGTGTATTTTACCACAATAAAAAAAGAGTAATGATTAAAAAATGCCGTAAGAACTTTTATGACACAAAGACATAACTTAAAGACACTACTAGAAAAAAGAAGTCAAATAAGAATAGAAAAATCTAGAAAGATGCTTCAGTGGAAGCTTGTGTACAAGGCAAATGATTCAAAATTTTTTATTGATAATGAATTCAAATGAAACTCAACTTAAATTTAAGTTACTCAGTTTAAACTTCACTTTCCCACTTTTAAACAACTTTTTCTCAGAGTGACTGTCAGAACATAAAAGCACCTTTGTTGTTTATAAACAATGCACCTCTAATATATGAAACACAGAGCCTTCCTTATTCTTATTTGATGCCATGCTTTTGCACACAACATGGATAATACTAAATATGTATATATATGCATTAGTGAAAACAGCCATTCAAGAGTAACTGTAGGGGGGCTGGCCCAGTGGCGTAGCAGTTAAGATCACGTGCTCCGCTTCGGCAGCCTGGGGTCCAAGGGTTTGGGTCTGGGTGCAGACCTACACCACTTGTCAGCCATGCTGTGGCGGCATCCCATATAAAGTAGAGGAAGATGGGCATGGATGTTAGCCCAGGGCCAATCTTCCTCAGCAAAAAGAGGAGGATTGGCAATGGATGTTAGCTCAGGGCTAATCTTCCTCACACACACAAAAAGGAGTAACTGTAGGGAGCCAGCCCTGATGGCCTAGTGGTTAAAGTTCAGCTGGTTCCGCTTCAGTGGCCTGGGTTCAGAACCACACCATTTGTCAGTAGCCATGCTGTGGCGGCAGCTCACCAAGAACTAGAAGGACTTACAACTAGAATATACAACTATGTATTGGGGCTCTGGGGAGGGGAAAAAAAAAAAGAGAGGAAGATTGACAACAGATGTTAGTTCAGGGCAAATCTTTCCCAGCAAAAAAAAAAAAAAAAGGAGTAACTGTAGCATTCTATTTATATAAAATTCTAGAAAATGCAAACTATAGTATCTACCCGGGGACAGCAAGTTGGGTAGGGCTGGGAGAGAGAATACAAAGGGGCCCATGGAAACTATAGGGCTATAGGGGCAATGGATATGTTGTGCACACATATGAAAATATATTTTACACTTTTAACAAATGAAGTTTAATGTATGTCAATACCCAATAAAGCTGTAAAGAAATAAAGATTCCATATAAAATCTGGATCTTCTCTTCCTCTAGAAATATCATAACATTTGGCAAAGCTGTATTGACTCCATCAGCACATTTCCCTGTCTTAGGTGGGTCAACTCTGATCCCTTCTCAAAACAGAAGGAAATGCTGACAAATGCTTCAACATGGGGATATTACACTAAGTAAAATAAGCCAGTCACAAAAAGAAAAATACTATATGATTCCACTTATATGAAGTATCCAAAGTAGTCAAATTCAGAGACAGAGTGTAAAAACAAAGTTGTCAATTGTTGTAGGAAGGTGGTAGAAGTTGTTTAATGTGTGTAGTTTCAATTCTGCAAGATGAAAAGAATTCTGGAGATTAGTTGCACAAATATGTGTATTTTTTAACACTACTAAACTGTACAATTAAAATGGTAGAGGGTGAATTTTGTTACATGTACTTTACCACAATTAGAAACGTAAAATAAAAAACTATATTACAGTAGCTCCCAGGTATAAATTAGAGCAGACATTTGGCTGAAGTCTTTCCCCATTTGCAATACTCTTCTTGGTGTGAACTTTTTGGTGCCGAATGACATGGAAGTTTTGGCTGAACACATGCCCATATTTGCTGCACTCAAAAAGTCTTTCTCCATTGTGAAATCTCTGACGTGTAATGGGGCTGGAGTTGCACCTAAAGACTTTCCCACATTCACTGTACTCAAGCTGTCCTCCAGTGGGGACTCCTGATGTCTAATGCATGGGGACCTATACCAAAACAATTTCCCACATTCACTGTACTCACGTGTCCCTACTCCAATATGAACTCATAAGGCACTTCTCCAGTGTAATGAGTTTAGAGTGGTAACTAAAGGATTTACCATATTCTCTGCACTCATAAGATCTTTATCAGTGTGAATTCTCTGCTTAATGAGGTTGGAGTTGTATCTAAAGAATTCCCCACATTCACGGTGCCATAGGCCTGTCTTCATTGTGAATTTTCTGGTGATGAACAAGGTGGGACTTTCTAATGAAGGCCTTCTGACATTTGCTACATTCATAAGGCCTTTCTCCAGTATGGATTTTCTGATGTTCAACAAGTATATGCTTGTGGCTAAAGGCTTTTCCACATTCGCTGCACTCATAAGGCCTCTCTCCAGTGTGATTTCTCCAATGTTTCAGGAGGTTGGAGTTGTACCGAAAGAATTTCCCACATTCGCTGCACTCATAAGGCCTTTCTCCAGTGTGAACTCTCTTATGTCTAATGAGTCTGCAGTGGTACCTAAAGGCTTTCCCACATTCGCTGCATTCGTAAGACCTTTCTCCAGTGTGATTTCTCCAGTGTTTAATGAGCTTGGACTTGTACCTAAAGAATTCCCCACATAAGCTGCATTTATAAGGCCTTTCTACAGTGTGAACTCTTTGATGTCTAATCAGTGTAGAGGTGTACCTAAAGAATTTCCCACATTCACTGCACTCATAAGGCCTTTCTCCAGTGTGAACTCTCTGATGTTTAATGAGTGTGGAGTTGTACCTAAATAACTTCCCACATTCATTGCACTCATAAGGCCTTTCTGCAGTGTGAACTCTCTGATGTCTAATGAATGTGGAGCTGTATCTGAAGAATTTCCCACATTGGCTACACTCATATGGCCTTTCTCCAGTGTGAACTCGCTCATGTCTTACCAGTCTGTAGTTGTACCTAAAGAATTTTCCACATTCTCTGCACTCATAAGGCCTTTCTCCATTGTGAATTCTCTGATGTTTCATGAAGTTGGCATGGTACTTAAAGAATTCTCCACATTTGCTGCACTCATAAGGGCTTAATCCAGTGTGAACTCTCTGGTGACTCATGAGTGTGGAGTTGTACCTAAAGAATTTCCCACATTCACTGCACTTAAAAGGCCTTTCTCCAGTGTGAATCTTCTGGTGCTGAACAACGTGAGACTTTCTAAGGAAGGCCATCCCACATTTGCTGCACTCACAAGGCCTTACTCCAGGGTGGATTTTCTCATGGTCAACAAGTATCTCTTTATGGCTGAAGGCTTTCCCACATTGAGTGCACTTGTAATCATTTTGTTCACTTTCAAAGGCCTCCCCACACTCAGTGTCCCTGTGTGGCTTCCCCGCACTGCGAGGGGCCAGGTGTAGGAGAAAGCCTGTGTCAGCTGCGAAGTCCTTCTCACCTTCACTGCATGTCAAGGTCCTCTCTGTCACATGAACACTGCTGTTCATCAGTGAAGGCCTCCCCTCCACCCTTCTGGAAAGTTTGTCTCCAATGTGCTCCTTTTGGTGCTGGTAAAGGTTTGCCCCACAAATGTATAGCCCTTCATCAGGGTACATTCCATCGTGCTCAGCCAGGTGCAAAATGTCTTTCAAGAGTGGGCGACACATCTCACAGGGCTGGGCCTTCTGGATGGATGGACCTGGCTTTGGAGTCCTGACCTGTGACACTCCCACAGAAACACCTTGCTCTGAAGGTGCCTCCTCATCCTGGGCTCCATGCCAACTACCTGTAAGCAGATAAATGCTGGTAAAGTGCAAGTTGACTTTGGTGGGAGGAGGCAGCCTCATCAGAAATGTGTCAGACACACCCACGAATAAGTCCATGGGATTGCTGAGACGCAATGGGAACTAGAGCCAATGAGAAGAACACCTGCTGTGCAGAGCTGGGCCTGGGAAGCTCTCATAATGGGACAGACCTAGTCCTAGGTAAGGACTCAAGGAAGAGGTACTGTCTTAGTCTACTTGGGATGTTATAACAAAATACCACAGACTGGGAGGCTTATAAACAACAGAAATTTATTTCGCACAGTTCTGGAGGCTGGAATTCCGAGATCATGGTGCCAGCACGGTAGGTGAGGGCCTCTTCTGGGTTGCAGACTTCTTGTTGTGTTCTCACATAGTGGAGGGCCTAGGGAGTTCTGTGGAGTCTCTTTTATAAGGGCATTTATCTGATTCATGAGGGTCGTGCCCTCATGATCTCATCACGCCCCAAAGGCCTCATCTCCTAATACCATCACCTTGGGGAGACACAAACATTCAGACCAGAGGAGGTACTATGCAGGGAGGAGAGGCAAGGTCTTTGAATCACTCCTCTGCAAATGGCTTTCAACAGGGTCATGGCTACTAGTGATTGGTGAGCACTATGTAGAAGTTTGTATCCAGACCTAGAAATACCTGACTACAACAGAGATGCTGCAGTTCAAGGACTATTTAAGGATATGTGCAGACCTCATGACACCTTAAGTATAGGTCAAATGTTGGAGAGCCCTGCAAAGGGAGAAATGACACAAAACGGGTGAGAGGTGAAGGCCACATAGGTGTGGTTGGAGTGCGGCAGAAAAAGGATTAGAAGTCAAGAGTTGAAATGAAAATGGGGAAGAAAAGATAGAAAGGAGGTGTGGCCACTGGTCCTGGCATCAAACAATGGTGGACAAAGGACAGGTTCCCAGCTCCCTCACACCAGGGCCACGTACTTTTAAGTGTCTCCTGCCACTGACCCACCCTATCAAGCACCCAGGGTCCTCCTCCCCATTGTTCAAGGTGAGCAATGATGTGGCACCTGAAAAAGGCCAGCACAGGACATCTGACATTCTAAAATTACAAGAACTTCACAGGACAGACTATAGAAACAACCCAGTGTTCTCAAAATTAGCAACCAGGCTGGTGCCTGAAATTCTTGGCACAGGCAGGCCCCAAGAAATATCAGCAAGAAGAGGGGGAAGGCCTGGACACCGAGGTTACAAGCATCTAGACTGAGTGACCCAACCAGGGACAGGCCAGGTCTGAGGGATCTCTCAGACAAACTTCAAGATTTCTGACTCCTAAGCCCTGTCTTGCAAGTACTCAGAGCAGAGGGATAGGGCTGCTTGGGGAGAGCGAGTACAGTGCACAAAGCCCAGCTCTGGCACCAAAAACACACATGCTAGGAAACCAGGAAAAGAAATAATACCCATGGTCTCGTTGTGGGAAGGACAGAGACGCCCCTGGAAAAAGAGAAAAACAGAGCCCAACCCAGGACACTAGGGTGGGTGTGATGGCCTTACCTACGGAGGTCAAAAGTGCAAAGTTCTCCATCATCACAGCATGGTACAAAAGTCTCTGAGCCTCATCAAGGAGGTCCCACTCCTCCTGGGAGAAATATATGGCCACGTCCTCAAAGACCACAGGGCCCTGCCAAAATTGGAACAGTGTGGTTCATGAGCAGCTTCTCATTTTAACTGTGTTTTTGTGGATTCTGTATTTATCTATTTGCCATCCATTAATTACAGGGCTAAACTAACGGCCAACTTTGTTTACATTCCCCTTGCAATCCAGAGCCCATGTTCTGAACCAACTCCTTAACTAACTCTTACACACCAAGGCAGTATTTCTCCTACCCTAAATCAGCCCAGGGCCAGGCACCAGACAACCAGGGACAGCCCCATTACCCCAGGTACACTAGAATTGTACAAACTAGCCATCCCTAAGCTTTTCATCCTGCCCTCCCTGCATCTCCCTTGAAAGTTAAATAAAGGCCCTGCCCTAACGTTTCTCTTTGCTCATGCTTATGCCTCCTGACCAAACCTGGTGCTTTCCCATGTGGCCCCATGTTACATGGTGTGCCCCCCGGGGCCTTCTATAAGTATAAGAAATATAAGTAATAAAAACCTTCTTTCAACGTCATTGGTCTCTCTGTGTCATCACTCACTCACCTCCATAAATTAAAATCCTGTGGGTACAATCATCGATGTACTTCTCTCTCCAGGATCTTCAATCCTTCCCCCACACATCCACCCCTGCTCATCCTCCCTGACTTCCCAACGTGGAAGAGTTACCAGGTCCTAGTGGCACCAGTGCCTGCTTTCTTCTCATTACCATTGATCACCGGGTCCAGCACACAGCATAAAACACGTGGGGGAGGGAAGAGAGAAGCACCATCTAGGCTGTGGGCCTGGCATGCAGGGCCTTACCTCTCTCCTGCCAGCCAATTTCTCTGGAGTCCCCTAGATCTTGACTCTCAGACAACCAAACTTGGACTCATCCTTCTCCCTTAACTGCCCAGTGCCAGGGCCTGGGGCCAACCATTTGCACTCCTCCTCACCTGCACATCACTTGTTGGACTCCTCCCTCATGATTTTGACCCCTCCACAGTGACAACTCCAGAGACACCCCCAGCCCACACCATAGGTATTTCCTTCACCTCCTGAAAGGCCACTCTGCCCACAGAATCCAAGCAGTGCATGGCAAACGCATCCAGCACCGAATTCAGCCCCAGTCCTTTCCCTGAACGCCACAGTCCTCTAGTGCCAGAGCCAGACTCAGGCCCTGCTTTGAAGGTCTCCCCACCAGGCCTTGTTTCTTGCTTCATCCTCAGCCACTCTTCCTATGTGAGGACCTCACATACCCTTATCTCTCTCCCACTTCTGCAGTGCACTGTGTGTCCCATAAGCAGTCAGAACCTTCCTCTCTCCTCACTGCAGCCCAGTTACACTGACCTCCCCAGCCATACTCCTACCCGACCCTAGGGTAGCAACTCTCCTAGCTGATCCCATTTCCCCCCCTCAACATCCATCTCATGTCCACTCTGGCCTTAGAAGACTTTCTCACTCCTACACTCCACCATCACAAACATATACAGAAACTCTGCTTCCTCATGTGTCTCTGTGATGCCCACCATCACCATCAGGCGCCCAATCAAGAGACCCAGTACTCAGGTTCTTCACTCCCATTCCTTGTCCTCTAATGGCATCACCAGCATAACCTAGAGATGTTGCCTCCTAAATCTGAGCCACAGTTTCATCCTAGTCCACATACAGGGCACCACGTTGTAGCTGCCTCCAACCTGAATCCATCCCCTGAACTCCAGACCTCTGTGTAAAAGTGCCCCTTGGAGTCTCTGGATCATCTGTGACGTGGAAAAAAACTGATTATTCATATTCCATCTGAAAATTCCTCATAATGCTGACTTTCCCCATTTTAGTTGATGAAGCACATCTATCCTTCCTAACAAGGCCAAAAACCTGGGGCCATGCCTGACTCTTCCTTCCATCCCACCTCATCTCCCTTACTCTCCACATCATAAAATATGGGCAGCTCTAGTTTAAAACACATCCAGAAACCAACCACTCCTCTACCTCCACAGCCGCCACTCTTGTGTAGCCACCACCAACGCTCACCTGGACCGCTGCATGAAATTCCTCCCAGCTTTCCCTGCCTTCACTCACATCCCTAGTCTACCACACTGTAGCCAGAGGGAGCTTGTTAAAATCCGGGTTGTAGCATCTTTGTCTTCTGCTTCAAACCTTCCCTCAGATTAGAGGCCCAGGACTTCAGGCTGATACCTGTGCACTCTCACCCACACCCCACCCGGCTCCCCATTCCCACCAGTTATAACAGAGACCTGCAGTTCCCTGAACATCCCAGCTCAGTTTCACCTGCAAGTATCTGAACACTCTGAACTCTGTGGCCAGGACTCTCTGCCACATCTTACCCCATCAGGTTAGAAATGGGAGCTGCTCCTTATAGCCTGTGACTAAATATAGGATCCTAGGCCTGGTGAAGGTACATTGTATGGTCTTCAGACTCAAGAAAGGAAGAAGGATAGAAGTCCCAGGACACTACCATTCCCTCAGGATACATATATTGGGGTGCCAAAACCACTGGGGTGATAAGGGGGTGGGTGAAAGGTAGGACACCCTCCACTCACCTGTGCAGAGTCCATAAGCATTTCTGCCTCTGCCATGGGACCCTGTTGGAAGAGGGAGGCCATGAGATATGGGTGACCATGGTGGGATCCTACAAGCTGAGCTGGGCCACGTGCCTTGCCCGGGAACAAAGCGATCTCAGTCTGATGGTCTAAGCTCAGCTCCTCAGAAAAGAGTGTGTCCTCTTACCAGCTGGGTGACCCTGAAGAAGGACTGAGCCTCCCTGAGCCTCAGGGAAAAGAACATGCTTATGAGGATAAAAATGCTTTCAACCTCATAGGGCTCATACTGGTATCAAATATAAGGAGTACATACTATGTACCAGCTATTACTGTCCATAGGATCAACAGTTTTGTATATATTTTCAGTGCAAATGAAGTGGTACGGTTTTGAAATCTGGGGTCTTTACTTTTACCACTTTTTAAGATTTCAAAGGAATCTTAAACATATATAAAACTCTATAATAAAACCTCTATTTAAAAAAAAGCAGGGGTCAGCCTGGTGGTGTAGTGGTTAACTTCATGTGCTCCACTTTGGCAGCCCGGGGTTCGCAGGTTTGGATCCCAGGCATGGACCTACGCACCGCTCATCAAGCCATGCTGTGGCAGCGTCCCACGTACAAAATAGAGGAAGATGGGCATAGATGTTAGCCCAGGGCCAATCTTCTGTACAAAATAGAGGAAGATGGGCACAGATGTTAGTCCAGGGCCAATCTTCCTCAGCAAGAAAAAAAAAAGTATATAAAACTCTACACTGTGAGCAAATACTTAGAAGTATATCAATGTCAAATCAAGTATGAAGTGTTTGTATAAATTTACCTTATTGAATAGGTTCATTTCTTTTTTTTTTTTAATAGAGATTTATTTATTTATTTTTTCCCCCCAAAGCCCCAGTAGACAGCTGTATGTCATAGCTGCACATCCTTCTAGTTGCTGCATGTGGGATGCAGCCTCAGCATGGCCGGAGAAGTGGTGCATCGGTGCTCGCCCGGGATCCGAACCCGGGCCGCCAGCAGCGGAGCGTGCACACTTACCCGCTAAGCTATGGGGCCGCCCCGAATAGGTTCATTTCTAATTGCCAACCTGTGTGTACATATTTAGAGAAATATTGGGTAACTACTGTTTAAATTAATATGTTTTTCATAACTTTTCATAATGATTTGTAGGGAGGGGCTGAGCAGACAAGTCAGCTACAGTCCATTCAGCAACCAGGCCTACCTGCTAAATAATTGTGAAAAGGAAGCTTGTTGGCGGCTCTTGTCTGAAACAGTGGATCATCCCACTCGCCATGAGAAGTAAAAGTAAGGCAGCAGTGTCCTGGTCTAGGAACCAGTGACTCCACCAGCCAGGGTGACCTTTCCCTTGTTCCATAGGGAGTGATCCTGAGGGTCCACTAACCCAAAAAGGGGAGAATCTACACCAGCACACACACCAGAGCCTCCACTGAAGGGGAGCTCCTTACGCCATCAAGGCCTCCCTTTCTACTGATACAGGCCAGAATTCCTCCTATGTCAGGTCTGCTCTTTTCTAGAGGGAGTATCAGGGATGCCAACACCCACTCCCAATGACCTGCCCTCCAACTTACAGCCCTCTCCTCCCTCACGAGGCTCATCTGAGATAACAATCTCGATCTGATCCCCAGGCCATGCTCTGCTGCAGTCCACACTGTCTACTCTTGTGATATCTCCAAACTTGTCCCCCTTCTCAGCTTCCACACGTTTACGTTCACCTACACATATGATCTCTCACTTCTCTTGTGACATCTGTATCTTGAAATATTTCAGATCAATATGTCCAAAATCCAAATCATGATCTTCCCTCTGGAACTTGTTTCTTGCGCTGACTCCCCCGTCTTTACACTTTAGGGAACTCAGGGAAAGAAACCTTGAGACGGTCCTTCACTCCCTACTTTTGCTCATAGGTTTACGTGATGCATCAGGAAAACCTGGAGGCTCTACTGTTGAAATCCATCCAGAATCTCATCACATCTCCCCTCGGGCCACCACCCTGGTCCCTCCCCTACCATAGTTCCCCTGGGGTCTGTGGCGGTGACCTCACCGGCCTCCATTCGCATCCTGCTCTTACCCACTTCAACCTCGAGCTCCAGGCACGCCCCTCCCAACCGCCGCCCCTCACAACCTCCCATGGCTTCCAGCTGCTCAGGTTGCCTCTGCGGGCGAGACTCCTCCTCACCTTGTTCCCTGGGGACGAGACACCCCCAGGCGCCGCCGAGGCTGCGACTCAGAAGCACCTGCAGGCCTCGGCCCAGGCCGCCCTGAGGGAACTCCCTCCAGCCCTCAGCACACCGGCTCAAACCGGGACTGCACACCCGCCGCCCCCTGTTCCGGACACAGAGGCCGCGGCCCTCAATCCGGGCTTTAGCGCTCGGAGGCGGGAGTCGGGCCGGGGGAGGCCGGGGACGCAGCACCCACCTCACGCGACTTCATCGGCGCGGCCTCCACCACCGACCTGTGGGAAAGGCGGGGCCGGGAGCAAGGCCGCCGCGTCCCCACCCGGCTCTGTCGGGGCTCACAATAGCCTCTGTGCAGCGGGGACAACGTCTCCTCCCGCGCTTTTCCCCTCCATCACCTCTATGCCCAGCAGGCGACTCCCAGGCCCTAAACCCGCCAACAACCCGAAAGCAGCCTAGCGGGAGAGAAGGAACGCCGGAAGCACCGCCCCACACGATGCGCACGCTCTCTCTCCTAACCCTTCATTGGCTCAGCCGCCGCCGCTCACCGTGGAGACTCTGGGGATTGTAGTTTCCAGTACAGCCACCGCCAACCAAACGTCAGAGCATGAGTCACTCCCTACCTGAGGTATAAAGGCCAAGTGGCAAGCTCAGGGGTCTTGGGACAAGGAGTTCCAGGCTTCCAAGATGGGGCGGGGCTTCTCTTGCTCTTAAAGGGAACGTACCCAGATTTCTTGGAGGACAGTCAACGAAAGGTTGGAGACTTGTTATTTCAGACCCTATGAAGTACAGCAAGTTGCCAAAGGCTAAACATCCAAAGGGACCACCGTATTGTAATGACACTCTATGACCACTCATAGCTGTCAGCTATCTTGTCGCTTTTCAAATACACGTAGACTGAAGCTCTGGAGTCACATTAACAAGCTTCTGCAATATTTGGCACAGAAGAAGAAAGAAAAGACTTTAGACAGAGCCCCAGTGGGGTATACGGAGGAGGGACGGCAGGAAGCAAAGAAACATGGAGAAAGGGTGAAACTGGGCCTCTGATTCCCAGAAAAACATCTTTCCTGCCTGTGTAGTCCGTGATTGTACTTGAACCCAGTGAGCCACACATTTCTTCAAATAATATTTATTACTCCATATGAGGTATTTTGCAATTCTTTTAACAATCTGAAACCTATCTGAAAAGAATAGTGACTTATCACATGCCATTTTCTGCCGGTTCAGTGTGTGCTGTTGGGAGCATCTTGTCCCTAAAACAAAGGTGTCTCATCTCATCTCCTTGCTGGGAAGTGATTTATCATGTCACCTGAAATTGCAACAACAGCGTCTTCACAGGGAGTTCAAATTATTGTGAAAACCACTTGTGAAATGGAGATTACTGAAAGGTATTAATAATGATTATGTAGTTATCCAAAGAAAGTAGCAGAAATAGTTCTAGGGAAACATACCTGTGACATGGGTGGGGGGGGGAACAGGTCTGATCTCAGTGAAGTTTAAACAACAGACAGTAAAGTCTGAAAAGCCAGAGGATGGAGCTGAGCTGTGGCTGTGATGAAACCTTGGCCACACTCAGGCTTTTGTCTCCAAAATGTGATTCTTTTTCACACTTGAAAACGTGGCTCGTTAACTGCTTAGAGGGATGGAAATGGTATTTTGAAAGACTTGCCAGAAAAGTGAAAATGAATAGGGAAGCTGTGCCATGTATTTGCTGATCTAAGCAATGTCCAAGGAGCACCTACGGGTTTTGGAACACTAGTAGGTGCCTGAGACACACTAGGAATGGGGTTGCCAGCTGGCTGCGTATATAGGACTGTTCTGTCTTCTTAGATTTTGTATTAGTCTATTTAGCATTTATTTATCACAAGGCCAAACAATAGTGAAAGATGTGTACTTCTCCCTCTTGCAAGTCAGTTTTCCCAGGCTCGCAAAACTCCTAGTACAAACACCTCAAGAACAAACTCTAATGTGTGTTCTGGCTTCCTGCCCGATAGGGGATGACCACCTAGGTACTCCCTGCCACTTTACTCATAAAGGCATAATCCAAGATTCTTCCCTGCCCACCCCCTGCATGTGACAAGGTTTCATGTGGACCTCCCTGGTGTGCCCTGCCTCTCACTTCCAGGGTGTTTAGCTAAGTTGAGAGTTTAGCTAAGTTACTCCATGGTATCGCTGCCTCAGCATCCATTTTGTGTGGCCAAGCATCCTGCAGGGACTTTAAACTGACACTCACCCCCTCACGGAAGCACCTGCCCTAGACAGCAGCCCCTCGGAGTCACAAACAAATGTAAGTTTCTGATATTACTTCCCAAAGGTCCTTGTGATCAAGTCTCCCCTGCCTCCCAGCACCTGTGTGCCCTATGTCCCCCGCTGCAGCTTAACAAAACCCCGCTCTTTTCGGTTTGAATTGACCAATCTGGACTTAGCCTGTGAATCCCAAAGCACTGAACCCACAAACTCTAATAAAGGCATGTGCCCCAGGTCCTGCCTCTCTCTGCCTGCACCCTGCCTTGACCTCCCTGTGCGGCCCCTGGAGGTGTGGCGTGTATTTCCTCCAGCACCTGTGAGTAATAAACTTTTCTATTGTGACTTCTCTTGTGCTCTTGGTCTGTTGTGGAACCGTGACTACCACCTGGCACTCTGTGCTCCTCTTAACAAATGTTAATTTAAGAAACTCAAAAAACAGGGAAGTGCCGAGTAACACAACTTCCCATTCAATGGCATTGACCTCTCCATATTGCCATTCAGTCACCTCTATGAATGAAAACCTGGGCACAATTCAAGGACATGACCTGTATTTAATGAGTTGGTCCTGCTTCCTATATTGACTTGGTCAGGATGCCCTAAATAGCCTGTATTCAGCTTTTTACAATACATCACAAAATATTTGACAGTTATGGACTTGATTAATTCCTGGCACCTTCCTTAAGTTTGGCCCACACTTCCCACTTAGGACCAACCAGACAAAGGCAACCATGTACCCCTAACAAATCACACAGGAGTCTCACTTCTACTTAGACCCCTGCTG